CCACGGTATTATCAACTGCAGTGCTTGATGGGATTTTAGCAGAACTATCCATCTGTTTACGAAGTTATGGCCGTTAGATTGATGAGTGTAATGAAGGGGTTTCATCGGTGATATGTATTGAGCTTATATGCCAGAGGGCGGGTTTAATGTGCAAGAGTTTGGTTTCTGATAGTCAATAGCAAGACAATATATGTGCACACTAATAGAAGCCCGATTTCACTGCTGAGTCTTTCTTTCAAAGGTTATCCGAGTAGAAGAATGTAATTGCTAATACGGAGAATCACGACCGTAGAATATACCGGCTTTTATCTGGTTCTCGAGTGACTAAGGGCTAAACATACTGATTAGACCATATTGAGATTCTCACCACCTTGTAAACTCTTGACCAGGACTTCCACAAAATATACTTTTCAACATTAAATTCTATCTTGAGCTTTTTTTACCTCCCTAACAGAATTCAGCCGCACATGCTTCTGATAAATTTCCACATCCCCAACACCATAAACAAACCTCACAGGACAAGTCCCTCAAGACTCGAGTAATAACAGCCCAACAGTAAACGATACAGTTCCGGGTTAGAGGCTCCCATGGAAGTCTCGTGATAGCCTTGCTTATATGAGCGACAGGTGGGCCATAAGATATGCAAGGGGATGGGATTGGATGGTTACAGTCAAGCTTTGTCATATTATGAACATTGCACGTATCTGCCAATAATGACACTGCCTTGTGGATATCTATGGGAAGATCCGGAGTATGAATTTTGCTGCCTACTGTCGACGTGCCATGGGTAATCCCGAACTTAATTTATATACAGATTATCACTTCGGCCAGTTATGATTAGAAAGCTTTAGAAACCACTATTAGAAATATATCGTTGTAGTACTGAAGAGATAAGCGGACCATATGAATTTCGACTTTACTAGTGGTTCAAACTTGTATACTGTTTAATGTTCTAGATTTATTTTTTTTTATATATATACTTACTATATGCCCTGTATCAAATGCGAAGAGCAAGTCTGGTGTGTTAAGGATTATACCGAACAATGCATTATTCTAAAGCAGCCTGGAGATTATTATCATTCATATTCAGATATGGTAGGTGGCATAGTGTCTCATACAGATTGTTCAAGATATAAGAAACTTTCGTCAGACGAATAGAGTTCGCGGAATTTGCCGGCTGATCACGAATATGATATCATCGCCGGGATTACTTTTTTTGGTCCTCTTTTATATGTTTGCCTATTTATTGGAGCAGTGACAGACAAATCGTGGCGAAAGTGAGGATGTCTTAGGCATGCAAGAAGGTGGACGAACCAGCAGTTGAAGGATGGGAATTGTTGCTAAATATAATTTGCTTGGATGGATACGTTGGACCAGTAAGATGGGAGGAAAAACCGTTAAGGGTCCTTAGTGGGGTTCCTATTTTGGTCTTGCGAGATACTCTAAATAATGTATGCAAGGGTTTTCTGAATTTGCTACGACTGCTTACATGGATTAATTAAGAGAGACCTTGCCAAAAAATAAAAAATAAAAAATTAACCAGATAAAGTGTTTATCCAAAAATTAAGGTGCTGTGAGGGGTTGAAACGTGACATTTCAAAGTGGATGGTTCGGTGGGGAATACCGCCGCTGAGGAAATTGAAGCAATCTCACCACAAATTAATAGCGTGCCACGTTGAGTGACTGCGTATGGGGTGAGACAGTCAATGCGCATCGAGAAACTTAGAAAGGTGGATTGCCATAGTGTTATATGTCCCTTGCTTTAACCGATGCATGCCTCAGATATCATGAAATCTCCTACAGGTTGATGTCGGATGACGTGCAGAGCTCTTCAGAGCTTGAAGGTGGCTGGACCCTGATAATGTGACAGATTCCGTTTTATTGGACGTACCGCAGCTTTCGAACGTCTCGAACGTCTCGAACCTAAGATTTTTTAGGGTTGACGTTGACCTTGCTCCGGAATAGGGAAGGTCTATTCCATCCGATCTCAGGCCACTCGATATTGTTCAGAAAGAGATATGTAACTGTTGTTTACGATAGATGGCTAGGGAAAACCATGACAAAATTAAAATAAATCTGGACAGTATGCCTGGCTGGCTGCCGACATTGATAATAGATAATTTTGCTCCTTCAGCAATTGAAAGTGAAGGGAGAAGATACCACCGTAGTGAGACAGACAATCCACTGGACGGAGTCGAGTTATTGCCGTTGTTCAAAGAACTGGACAAGGTTGAAACTATCGCCAACCGTCGCTACTAATTCATCTCGACGGACTCGTGTTAGGCCATTGAGAAAAGGGGAGATGAGACGATCGTCGTTCTGGCCGGTCTGTGCTTCAGCCCCAAGCCCCTAACTAATATTAACGAAAACACCCTAATCGAGTCATAATTTTCATGGCCCCTGATTCGAAATTTTAGCGCGGGAAAGAAAGGGCAAAGCAAAAATAAGGAGCAACTTCTCTTTTCCTTCTTTTTTTCTCGACCAATCCTCTCGGTGTTTTGTATAGGACTAAGGGACCAATCGTCACGACTTTTTTGCCGTCTGCGGGCCAGTAAACAGAGAAAGAGTCGCCTTAATTCCCGGACCGCCTCAGGCATCCATCCGCTCATTCATCAATCATCCATTCAGGTGCTCCGTCAGCCGCGTGTCTCACTCCGTCGCTTTTTCGCTGATTGCCTTCTACCTCATAACCTTACTAAACCTTTTTTTTTTTCTTCCCTTCGCTTGTACCGGACAGCTTCTTCCTACGTTTTCTCACTCTCCTTGACTGAATTAACGCTTCTCCTTTGTTTCCCTATTCTTGCCGGCACCGGAGCTTCGTCCTGTCGCAAATCGATCCACCCACCCTTTCCCCCCCAGTTTCCCGTACGACCCGACTCTGCCATCGTCCCAACCAGATTCGGTTGCCTTAGGCTGGTCAATAAACAACCCAGAAACGGGACCTTATCGCGGAGGAATCCATAACTTTGACTATTAAATAATCTTCCGATCGAAGAATCCCATCACAATGAGTGTACGCTCTCCCGGTGACGACCCCCTTCGTCTCCACGTTCTTGCCCCTCCCCTTAACCGCATGGTACTTCGATGGACCACTAATTGAACAATTGATGTAGGGCGGCTACGGTTCATACAACCCCTATGGTGGCCAGGGAGGCTACCAGCAAGCTAGCAGCATAGAGGAGGGTAATGGCAACTATGGTAAGCGCGCGTGACGGACCGCAAAACAATCGAATGTCATCTAATCGATCTCTTGGCAGAGATGAACCAGGTGGGTGGTGGCTACGATACCCAGCCTGCCGACCCGACCAGCTTGCTCAACAAGTGCCGTGAAATCAACGACGGTATCGCCGACATTCGCGCTAAGCGCGAGGGACAGCTCGCGGCCGCGCAGAATGGTTTGCTGGACTCGAGCACCGGAAAGGAAGACCAAGTTTCTCGCCAGACCCTAGACTACGTCGAGGATGAAATCAACAACGGTTTCCGCTATCTCCGTGACCTCCTGAAGAAGATCAAACAGACTCCCGGCTCCGGAGACAGCCGTGTACAGACCCAGGTCGATGTGACAAGCCGCAACCTGCGCCGCGAAATCGAGCAGTACCAGCGGGCCCAATCGGATTTCCAGAAGCGTTTGAGGGAGCAGGTTCGCCGTCGTTATGAAATTGCCAACCCCGATGCGACCCCCGAGGAGTTGGAGCAGGGGGTTGATAACGTTCTCATGGGACAGGAGCAGACCTTCCAGGTAGGCGACATCCGCCGAGATCTCACGTTAAGCCCAATTGCTAACATGCGTCATTTAGCTCACTGGTAGCCGGACCCGTCAAGCCAACGATGCCAGACAGGCTGCTCTGGAGCGTTCGGCCGCAATTCGGAAGATTGAACAAGATATGATGGAGCTTGGTCGGCTGTACCAAGAAGTCGCAGAGCTTGTGCACCAGCAAGAGCCTGCCGTCGAACAGATCAACCAGGGCGCCGAAGAGGTCGCTGGAAACGTCGCCAACGCCAACACTCAGATCACCCATGCCATTGACAGCGCGCGTCGGGCAAGAAAGTGGAAGTGGTATGCCTTGCTTATCATCAGTAAGTATCACAGATGCCACCATTTGTATCTGGGAGGAAGGAGCTGACCTCGACATAGTTCTCATCATTGCCATCGTTGTTGGTGTCGCTGTCGGTGTAACCCAGGGAAACAAGTAGTCTCAAGACTCATGAATTTTCTGACTGTGACCCTTATGGTCACGTTGGCTTTCTCCGTGAACTCCGATCAACTCTTGTCTCCGACCCTATGCGTTTCCATACCTCTGTGTTTCATGTTGCGATTCCCTCTTCTCGTCTAGTTGCTTTGAACCTTGTATACCCATGCAAGGGCTGGAACGAATTTGTGCTTCTGCTGCTTTCTAATCGATCTGTGCGACTTACACCGGCAGGATGTTCCCCGTGTTATCTCGATGACCACGGTAAGCTCAACCGCCAATTTCACTCCCTATTTGCGTTGGATCTCTTATGTACTTTTACCCTTGTTATACCACTTGATTGCTGTCTGTCGCGTTTCGTCTGTGTTTGAAAAAGCTTGTCTTGCGAGTGTCTCTACCTTTGCGTTTCCTGTTTCCATGGTCTTTGTATTCACTGATGGTCGTGTATAGTTTCCGCATCTTAATCGAATGCGGCCTGATGACTGCTGCTCTTGGATAGGATGCGCATGATACTGCTGCACGTGTATATACTAGAGTTCCTTCGCTTGCTTTGACTTTTGGCGCTAGATCTATGTAATAATCGACTATTCCACTAATCAATCTAATGAGCCATCGCAACACCAGGAATCCGGAGCCAGTGGTAGATCAAATGTGCTCTATTGTAGGGGTTGCCCACACATTTTCCAGTGTGCTTTCATACAGAATTCCGGATAGAGATTCAAGTCCAGGTGCAGTCACATTATTGGGTATCGCAAAGCCGTATCTATATTTACGCAAAAAACATTGTTCGCGATTTCACAATGTCATGCTTTATGCCTGCGCTTTTCTTTCCTTCTCCCTCTGCTCCTCTTCCGGCGTCCGAGTTCGTAACTGCAGCGCATGAATTCCTCCCTCTCGGTCCATCTCCTCCTTTAGCAAAGCGTACACCATGCGGTGACGGGCCGGCTGCATCTTCGACTTGAATGCTTCGGAGGTAATCGTTATGCTAACAAAGTGATATCAGTCAGGCGCTGTTTCGCAGGAGCCGACGGGTGGGGGACAAACTGAAAGTGCGTTTCCTTGGACGTTGACCCACGCATCGGCGCATGGTGCGCATGGAGATGGGAATCATTCCGGATTATAAGATTGGAGGGGGAGAAAGCAGTGGTGATCTGGCAGGGTGGGATACATTAGCACGTCGACATTGCGGGTGTAGTAGGGTAGAGAAAGAATGCTGTGCTTCGTACTTTCTCACGGACGGCATCTTCGACGGGAGTATTGGAAGCCATTCTGGAGGTTGTTGAGAACAGACGACGAGGGACAAGGCCGGAACGGCTGTGACGGAGGAGGGAGAGCATGGGATGTGGTTGAATTGCAGGAAGTGGGAGATGTCGATTTGCGGAGGAGCGTTGGTAAGTAATGGATAAATTGATGGATTTCATTGGTACTGGTATTTCATGTCATCATGTGAAGCGGCTTTCCCCATACCGCCGATCGGGAGAGCTTCCGACTCCGACCAAAAGCTCCCGACTTTGGCTCCAAACAATGACATCAATCAGTCTCTTTGTCCAGTCTGATATCCATTGACGGATTTTGCACCTTGATTGCTATTCGTATAGAAGATAAATATGCCATACGCATCCCGCTAACTTCAAAATGCAAGGACGCATGCTGATTTCGGCCCTTTCGCGGGGCTCTGGGCCCTTGGCTCGTCGCGCATTTCAGTCGTTTCTAAAATGCAATGCTCTCCACCAACCTCGATTCCAACCAATTAATTGTCGGTCGCTCTCAACTTTGCCAAACCTACCTCTTTTCCAAGCTCTCCGAGATCACGACCAATCTAGTCTTGCTGTCGTTCACAGCGCATCGTCCCGCTCCTTTACCTACGGCAATCTCGTTGCCGATGTCGTCCGTGCAAAGGAAAGACTCCTTGAGTGTGCCAAAGGCCAGCAAGATGGGCTTGCAGGAGAAAGAATTGCATTTCTGGCGGAGAATAGCTACGATTACGTAGGTACTGTTTCTCTTCTCTCTTGTCTACCCTGCCTGGCTGGTTACTGATCATGGTCTCAGTGACTCTTCTTTCCATTCTTGCTAGCGATGCGATCGCCTTACCCCTCTCTCCGGCCTTCCCCGTCGGCGAATTGAAGTATATCATGGATAATTCCCAGGCCAAAGTGCTCGTTGCTACCGAAAAGTATGCGACCAAGGCACATGATATCTTGAACGCTGGTCTTGAACGAGAACCTATTCTAGAAGTCATGGAGAAGATTACAACCGGGGCAAGCAGTTTGGACCAAATAAACCTGCAGGACATTGTGCAGGAGTCTCGTGGCGGAATGATGCTATATACCTCAGGTACTACCAATAGGCCGGTAAGGACACCTCATCCCAGCAGTGCGGGATATAGTCATATTGATACGTACTAGAAAGGCGTGTTGATCCCGCAATCAGCACTTACGGCGCAAGCAGCGTCCTTGCTGGAGGCATGGAAATATTCTCCGGATGACCGGTTACTCCATCTTCTTCCGCTGCATCATATCCATGGGACTATCAATGCCATTGTAACGCCCATTCTGGCTGGCTCGTCTATTGAATTTATGTTCCCTTTCAACACAGATGCTGTGTGGAAGAGGCTTGCGGCTCCCTTTTTACCCGCATCCTCAGCGAGCAAGATTACTTTCCTTACAGCTGTCCCAACGATCTACAACCGACTCTTATCCTCTTTCCCCGGCCTGTCCCCTGAAGTGCAAGCGGCAGCGAAGAAAGGGATTGCACCCGAGAATCTACGTCTGAATATCTCTGGATCGGCAGCTTTGCCGACTCCTACTAAGCAAGCGTGGCAGGATCTCAGCAATGGCAATGTCCTTCTGGAGCGTTTTGGAATGACCGAAGTCGGTATGGCTATCAGCTGCGGCCTCGACTTCGCCGATCGGGTTGATGGTAGTGTCGGGTGGGCATTGCCGTCTGTGGAGGCTAGACTTGTGGATACGGAGACAAACGAAGTTATACAGCCTGGAGAGGAATACGATGCGAATGGACGCGAGCGTGAAGGTGAAATCCAGCTCCGTGGCCCTACTATTTTCCGGGAGTATTGGGCCAATGAGAAAGCCACAAAAGAAGCGTTTGTCGACAGTGATGATGGTAAGAGCAAATGGTTCAAGACTGGGGACGTTGCCACGCGCCGAGTAGTCGAGCATGCTGGGAAAGGAACAAGTGGAGATTGGGCACAGGGACCTATGTATTTCATTCAAGGCCGACTGAGCGTGGATATCATCAAGACCGGTGGAGAAAAGGTCAGCGCATTGGAGGTGGAAAGAGAGCTGCTGTCCCTGTAGGTCCTCCTGTACCGCATGGAAAACTGCATACTGATCTGCTGTAGCCCTCAAGTTAGCGAAGCAGCTGTGGTGGGACTTCCATCTGAGCAGTGGGGCCAGAAGGTCGCTGCAGTGGTTGTTCTCGACGCAGAAAAGGCTGCGAATACTGGTCGCAATGGCAAGCCATGGGGTGCCCTTGACATGCGACGTGCCCTTAAGGATCGCCTAGCAAGCTATAAGATGCCCCAGGAGATGAAAGTTCTCAACAAACCGATCCCAAGGAATGCAATGGGCAAAGGTAAGCTCCTGTCTCTCGTTGGCCATGGTGGCATACTTACTGGCATATAGTGAACAAAAAGACACTTGTCAAGGAGGTCTTTGGAATCTAATCGCATATGGACTGTCAACACTGTACAATATCTCGACTGTATCTATGTAATCATGTTGGATGAATTCCAAATGTTATTCCCTTGAAACTTTTTTCGCCCACTTGAAAATAAGAAACCCATGGCCTTGTCTACTAGATCAACTTGAGCCCGCGAGACACAGGAGGCTTTGATCTATGTGAATTCCATCGGCCAGGGGCTGGGGAAGTTTCTTCAGCTGGATTCGATAAATGCCGTGGTCCTTGGCGGAAGACTAGCTCCCCCCGGGTTGCTGATCCCAACCTTGAAGCAGTCTGCAGCGGCTAAATCCGGACATCCCTCCGCACCCGTTATGGCCCGCAAAGACCGGCAAAACATATACTCTGCAACGTTATAGCATAAATGCTTCGTTTTATTATTTCCCGGTCTCAGTCTGACGCTACTCTCGCGGTGCGAAGCCGTTGATCAGACCCCTTAATAACCTTAATACTGTCAACATTGCCGACGCGCATCCTCCGCACTGGTGGATTTTAATATATCTAAAACCGGATCACAATGGCAATGAGACATCCGGAAAAACATGTGCATGAATCAAGTCGGACCATCGGGCCGCAATGGTCGGAATCCCATATCAGACGCTCTTAAGCTCCCACAAGCCTTGGTGCTCTGTCTCGGGATAATACATAAATAACGGCTACGCCCCGGCGCATATACGACAGCACACATACTCTTTATATACCAGCAAGCCGAGGCCTTTTAGCATGATCTGGACACTCGTTCCCTTCGTGGCACTTCTGCCACTAGCGACAGCCCAACAGGCGGGCACTACGCCTGATGCCCATCCCAGACTCACCACATATAAATGCACATCGCAGAGTGGCTGCATAAAGCAGAACACCTCAGTTGTTCTGGATGCAGCAACTCACTTCATCCACAAAAAAGGGACAGAAACTTCCTGCACCAACAGCAACGGCTTAGACACTTCCATCTGTCCGGATAAACAAACCTGCGCTGACAACTGTGTCGTTGATGGTATCACGGACTACAGCAGCTACGGTGTCGAAACAGAGAATGCCACGTTGACCCTTCACCAGTACTTGCAAACTGGCGACGGCACAAAGTCCGTGTCACCGCGCGTCTACCTCCTCGCGGAAGACGGAGAGAACTACTCCATGCTGAAACTCACGAATCAGGAATTCACCTTCGATGTCGATGCATCCACCCTCGTATGCGGTATGAATGGTGCTTTATATCTGTCTGAAATGGAGGCCTCTGGCGGAAGGAGCTCCCTGAACCAAGCCGGAGCCACATATGGAACTGGGTACTGTGACGCTCAATGCTACACCAAGGAATGGATCAACGGCGAAGCCAACACCGAGGGTGTGGGCTCCTGCTGTCAGGAAATGGATATTTGGGAAGCCAACGCCCGAGCAACAGGACTTACACCACACCCTTGCAACACAACCGGCCTGTACGGGTGCAGCGGCTCAGAGTGCGAAGCTTCCGGCGTCTGTGACAAGCCTGGCTGTGGATTCAACCCGTACGCCCTAGGTGCAAAGGACTACTACGGTTACGGTCTCAAGGTCAACACCAACGAGACACTCACAGTTGTAACCCAGTTCCTCACAACTGATAACACCACCTCAGGCCAACTCAGCGAAATCCGCCGTCTTTATATCCAGAATGGGCAGGTCATTCAAAATGCTGCCGTCACTTCCGGAGGCAAAACTGTCGACTCGATTACAAAGGACCTCTGCAGCGACGAAGGAAGTGCCTTCAACCGGCTTGGTGGCCTCGAGGAAATGGGCAACGCCCTGGGCCGCGGCATGGTTCTTGCGATGAGTATCTGGAACGACGCAGGCTCGTTCATGCAATGGCTTGATGGTGGCAATGCAGGACCGTGCAGTGCAACTGAGGGAGACCCGGCGTTGATTGAGAAATTGTATCCAGACACTCATGTGAAGTTTTCCAACATTCGGTGGGGAGACATTGGATCGACCTACCAGCATTAGAATGGGTTCTACATCGTCTGTGGTTATGTATGTATGATATCTTTGCGCTTGATTGCTATATGTGATGCGAAATATAGCGAAGTTGATCCATAAATGAATACATCCCGATTCTTGCATACCGTCAACAGGTTCCATGCCATACGCCAATAGAGGCAGAATACAAAGGTTCTATACCCAGTGAGTGCAGTAATATACACACGCTAGGAGGGAACGTAGGATAAACGGATTTTATCCCATGAAAACAAAGGATACCATCCCCAGACACACGCATGAAAATCCCACCATCGAAAACAAACTAGAACCACATCAGTAGCCTCACGTACTCGGCCACTCAAGATCCCTCCAAGGCCTCCCCCGAGTCTCCCTCGCCAACTCCTCCAAAGACTTCCAATTCCAAACGCGCTCCCCGGGATTCACCAGCTCATTATCACAGCCCAACCCAGCCGGAGAATGATTGATCTTGCCCTCCGCCATCAGAAACCTCAAATACGCCGCCGGATCACTCCCCACCACGCTAGTAACCCTATCCTTATACTCCCCCAACGCAATCTCAGTCACCTCAATCGGCCCACCCCCCTCCCTCTCCATGACCCTCGCAACATCAGCAACACACTTGGTATCCCCCGCAACATGCACCACATCCGGCACCTCCCCCTCAGCAGCAAACAAGCGACAAAGCCCCGCAACAACCCTCCCCACATCGCCCAACCCTGTAAACGAAACCCGCTCCGCAGACGACCCCACACTCTCATACCGTCCGCCACGGGTATCAAACCCAAACCAAGGCCCAATACTATCCTCCATAAACAGTCCACAAAACACCCGACAGACCTTCACCTGGGGAGGCAATATCTCCCGCGCGAGAGCATAATGTCGCTTCTTCGCGTCCCATTCTAGATGCGGGAAGTCGTGGATGTAGTGGTTTACCCCGAACTCGGAGGGGATGTACAACTTGATGTTTGTTTTGGGGATGGCACGCAGGAGGTCTTCCTTGAAACTGTGGCCGGAGGGCCCGATTGCGTTGATTAGGATGTCGATGTCGGTTAGGGCTTGGGCGAGGCTGGTTGGCGTGTATTTGCGGAGTTGGAGTTTGGGATTGGAGGGGATGTTGGGGATGGAGGACGAGGCTTCGGAACGGGTGAGCAGGATTATGGAGGTGAAGGAGCTGATGAAGGGAGTGCTGAGCAGGGCGGTGGTTATGTGCTCTCCTAGGTGCCTGTGCCGCCGGCTATGGCTATTGTTGGTTTGGGGGGCATTTTGTATGGAGTTTGGAATAGGTGAGTGGGGTTGGGGTTGAGAATTGAGGATTGAGGGACGCAGGTTTCTTGGAGATTGCTACGGGATTTATATAGGTGAATGGTCCTTTACTTAGGAGTATATGGGTAAGCAGACCTGGTGATTCATCATCCTATACATCTACTTGGCAGGGTTGGTATGCAAAAGTCAAACTGGGCAAACAGCCGGAATGGATTCGGGCTATTCCTTTCTTAGCCTGGTGGATGCTGTTTACATTGTATGTTCTGTTTGCTACTTGTCATCATTGGCTAAAGCTGGTTCAGTGGACTGTTTGCACTGGGACAAAAGTCAATTCTGATTGGCTCGCATTCCTGTCCCTTAATTCCGCTGTTTGATAAGGCTTACAAACTGAGGTATGCGGAGCCCTAGGTCGAGGATAGTCGATGCTAGAACTTCTGAATAATTTTTTCTTTGGATTTACTTCTTCCGATTCTCCTAGAGAGAGCTTCTATGTCTTGCAAAGAAGATTGCATTTTGCATTGAGGGGTAAGGTCATATTGTCGGACTGTCAGTGTCCTCGCCACTTCAGGTTGATACTATTCCACAGTGAACAGACTCTATAATATCGACTTCTACCACTTGTCAGAAATCTCAAAATGAACTCTCGATTGATAAGGGCACTTCAGCACCTCATCCAGGAGGCCCATGGCCATGTCTCTCAACATCCATCATGTCATTCATGCTCGCACAATATGAACCCCGATTACATTTCTCAGATGGAGACATGGTCACAGCTAGAAACAATGAGACGACTGCTGTGCCAGCGGCCACCGATTCCCGAACTACCTACGGAAATACTCGAAGACATTGACGCAGTCATCACACATCGAAACAATAAAGCAGTGCTCACCTCATCTACATCAATCCACCCGAGCGTTGTATTCAAGCCCAACAATGATAAGACAACAGAGAAATCGAGCTCCAAGGCAATCAGTATATATCTGTGGAGAGGCGACATCACAGCTTTGACTGACATAACCGCAATTGTCAACGCTGCGAACTCTCAGCTTCTCGGTTGTTTCCGTCCGGACCATCGCTGCATTGACAATGTTATACACTCTGCTGCCGGCCCACGTCTTCGCGATTCGTGCAACTCTTTAATGCTTGAGCAAGGGCATCCAGAGCCGGTAGGATCTGTAAAATTTACCCCGGGTTTCAATTTACCAACACCATGGGTATTACACACTGTGGGCCCGCAAGTGAACTCTAGGAAGAGTCCTGGAACAGTACAGCAGCAACAACTAGCAAGTTGTTACAGGTCTTGCCTTGATGCCACTGAGTCACTTCCTGCATGTCCGGACGGCCGTAAGGTTGTAGCCTTCTGCTGTATCTCAACAGGACTTTTTGCTTTCCCGCCGGACATGGCCGCCAAGATTGCTCTGGAGACCGTGATACAATGGTGCTTGGATCACCCGGCAACAACCGTGACTGATATAATCTTCGACACCTTCCTGGAGAGAGACTACGAGTTGTATCAAGCAAATATTGCGGCGCTCAAGACTAGCTTTGCCTCCCCAGGCGTCCAGATATCTTTCCCACCAAGTCCACCCGATCAACCCAAGGCACTCATTACCCCTACCATATCCAAGGCGCGAAGCTGGCTCCAAGAAGCAGACTACCTAGTTATCTCCGCCGGTGCTGGTCTCTCAGCAGCTATCGGCCTCGACTATACTTCTACATCTCTTTTCCAAAAACATTTCCCGGGGTTTCTCCACCTCGGCCTAGGACGCCTATACGACGTGTTCGGATTCAACGACTGGGACAGCCCGAACCAAAAATGGGGCTACTACTTCCTCCACCTAAACATGGTCCGGACCTGGCCGGCATCAAAACTCTACGACGCCCTGCGTAAATTCGCGGCCCACTTTGACGATAGATACTTCGTTCGCACATCTAACGCCGATGGCCAATTCGTTGCCAACGGCTTCCCAGCAGAGAAGGTATCCACACCACAAGGACAATACAGTTTCCTGCAATGCTTCGCCAAATGCCGACCCGATGCCGTATTTCCTTCCGATCCCTTTGTGGACGCCGCGTTACCCTTTATTGATCTAAAGAGCTAGGTTCTCACGGATGAAACGAAGATCCCGGCATGTCAATATTGCGGCGGCGAACTGACACTCTGTGTGCGTGGTGGCGATTATTTCAACCCTGCCCCATTCCGTGGGCAGGAGCGTAAGTGGAAGCAATATATGGATGATGTTGCCAGCAATCTGGATGGTAGGAGGGCTGTTATTCTTGAGCTGGGTGTAGGGCTCAATACGCCGGCCGTGTTGAGGTGGCCGAATGAGGAGCTGGTGGGGGACCTTTCGAATCCTGGCTTTCGACTTATTAGGGCGGGAATAGGGCTTCTGGATGTGCGCCTTGGGATTTGGAGGAACGGGATTTGGCTGTTGGGATTGAAGGGGACTTGGGTTTGGTTGTGGAGGCGTTGGTGGGTTGAAGTTTGTTATAGATCCGATATTTGTATAGAGAGATACTATAGATTGTCTAGGGACGTTTAAATGATGAATTATAATTTAGTATTACTTAGGGGCTTTGATTGAGTCCAAATTGGAAGCCTAAGGCAATAAATTGGCATGCAGCTTCACCGCTGCTTCGACATACCAAGAAGTATCGTTTTCTCAAACGGTGCTTGGCTATGAACAACATGGCTAACCTATCGATGCCACGTATCATGTTCTAGCTACTCTGTAATAGAAGAGCAAGTTGGTTAGTACTGGTTGCATCTCACTCAGTAATAGGCTGGGCCTCTCTCACCACCAAGCTACGTAATTACAGCAGCTTGAAGACGCAAGATAGAGTTGTAATGTGGTCAGTGGATGGATAATAGGCAGACATGCATATATTCATGCAGTATATCGTCACTTTCTGCAATATGCCAACAACGTAGATACATCACAGAAGCAGGGCCACCTAGACCAAGAGTTACCACTCTTATAACCTCGCAGAAGCGCTAGTGTGATCGTAGAACACTGTTCAGAAGCCAGTTCATGGTAAATGCTGCTTCGGCGAGTATTTTTCAATATATTAGCAACCTCATACTACTTTATTTATCTACTCAGTGGCAACAAACGGTATTTCCAATCTACCCCTCTGAAACTCGCCATTATCTTTCTTGTCCACCTGGTCGTTTCTCTGTTTCGGTGGCTCGCAGAGCAGATAGTGTACAACATGCGGAAGGACAATCCATCACCCTGCAACCATGAGCGTCAGAAGCAGACCATTTCTCGTTCAATAGGTCATCTTACTTTTATGCTCTTCATCACCCCTTTGATTTCCATTTGGTGGAGCGCTATAACAGACTACAATGGCTCCCTTCAGCTTTCTGTCACGAGATTCTTGGCAGATCCAAAGGCGTCATTGAGCTGGTATTCTCTGCCTTCCCACGATATCAGCGTTGCTTTTGCGAAATGGATTCTCTTCGAAGCTATTCTATATACCGTACTGCCGGGTAGGATATGTGCTGGTCAACCCACGCCATCAGGACACACCTTACCTTATACAATGAACGGCCTATCATTTTTCACATTCTCAATTATCTTCTTCTTGGTCTCGGCAGCTCTCGGATGGACTGAGCTTTCCTTCATAGCCAGCAACTGGAGAGACATTATCCTGGTGCTGAATGCGTTCGCTTGGTTGCTTACAGGCCTAGCCTTTCTAAAGGGGCGCATTGCTCCGTCATATAAATATGATAACAAGGAGAATGGTAATAGATACCATCTCGAAAAGTAGCTACTTTCTAACAAACCTCAACAGATTCATACATCTCCGATATCTGGCGAGGCATTGAGCTCCATCCTCGGTTCGGCGCAGCATGGGATCTCAAAATCTTCCACAACGGACGCTGGACCATGACCGCACTCGCCATGATGTAAGTCCAACCATCATCGGAGGTAAAATATCTGAAACTCTAATGTTGTCCTTGTAGAGATATATCCTTCGCAGCCCTCCAATGGGAAATGCACGGTTATATAACGTACACGATGATATGCGTACTGCTACTCCGGAACATTCTCATCGTCAACTTCTTCACAAATGAAGAATGGTAAGCATCTCCTCACTACCAAAGCCGCATCACAATCTAACTTCAGCCCCTAGGTATCTCCGTAGTATGGACGTATGCGACGAGCCCTTCGGATTCTACTTCGCGTGGGAATCCGGTGTTTTCTTCCCGACAATGTACACTTTGCAGACGCAGTATCTTGCCCTGAACCCCGTTGAGCTTCCCCTCACTCGTATTATCTCAATATTTTCCCTCGGAGTCACAGGATTCATCGTCTACTATGTCGCCACAGAGCAAAAGAATGTAGTATGCGACATGAAGAGTGCCAAGGAGGTGGGACACGAAAAGGCGCAGTTTGTTCGTGCTTCGTATACGACGACTGATGGGGTCGGGAGAGAGTCACTCTTGTTGTGTAGTGGTATGTTACCGTTTAAGCACGATGCTTCACATGTGATACTTATGAATAGTCCAGGGCTGTGGAGACATATCCGACATCCCAATTATCTGGGCGTATTGATATTGACGTACGCCATGTGCGCATTGTGTGGGACCGAGGCCCTGCTTCCTTGGAATGAGGCTGTCTTTGCTACTGCTTTCCTGGCCTATAGATGTACTAGGGATGAGAGAAACTGTCTGAGGAAGTATGGCAAGGATTGGGAGGTTTATTGTCAGAGAGTGAGATGGAGCTGGTGCCGGGGTTGTATTGATTTTCCTTCACTTTCTGGAGTAAACTTTTGCTAGCCATACAGAAGGAACTTTTCATAGCCGTATACACGTCTTACTTGGTAACGTTTACTAGTAGACTGTATCACTACGAAGGCTTTTGGAACGGTCAAACATCTGGTTTGAAGATATGACAGATAGTAGTACCATGCATCGTGGCCCTAAGTGAGTGTTCACAAATTCAAAGGATAACGTTGAAGTGTGTATGGACATGGGTTAGATGCCCAGGTACTTTCAAGGTCTCTATTCAAGCCGTTCACGAATAACATTATCCCAAGTCCAATTTAACAGCTATGCGTAACCTTACTGAGTCCGTATTGAATGTTGACTGAGCTAAGTAATAATTTGGGTCCTATGGAATGTAGATATCAGCAAGTCAAGGAGAAGTTGGACAAACAGCTCGCAAGCGACGTCAATCATAAAGCCAGATTATCAATTTGGAGTAGCCAAGGAACTCGAGGAATACATCAAATCTTGAATAGACTCCAGAAGGAAAAGGTATTGGTAGGCCGGGGATTACCCGATGCTTTAGCCATATCTCTATCCACCCTCACCCCCGCCTGGGTGTTTGGGGAGAGGTCATGATAATAGCCACCACCGATCCCTTGACTGACACGCTCACTATCCCTGGTGAAACCTCCCCGAACCCCACCATGGACGTGATGGTGCTTCACAAATTCGTATGTAGCGCCAGCAGAGGCGTCGAAGCCATTCTTGTGACCATAACCCCCAACCGCAGCTTGAAGGCTCCCCATGTCTGCGTTCAAGCTAGCGCCGACAGGGTTCTTGCTCATATCAAGCCTCACACCCGGATTGTGGGATAGAGGCATACTGTAGACCGTCCCAGTTGGAGCCCCTGGCATGAGGGGAGTGTCCCATCTGGTATCACGCGTGCTGAACAAGCTGTTCGACCCGGACAATTTGCCGAGATTTATATCACTGCGGCTCAGACCACTATTGCCGAGTCCGAGGTCGAGGCGGTAGCTGAACTGATCATTGAACGATGAGTTGCTGAATAGATTGTTGTTCATTTTTGCCGTTAGCGGAACTGGCCGAGTACCTGCTATCGAATTAGCATTGGACGCCACGGATATTGACAGTACGAACCAAAAGAGATGTAAGGTGATTGCTGCGAAGAGGAATTAGTCTTGAAATGATAACTCAAGACGAATATCCCTATTTCATATTTCAGTAGGAGTCAGCCACAGCTCACCATGGTACATCATTCCCGGAATCCCGGCTCAACGTAATTTCTTCGTGTTATTCTATGATTTTCTGCCATGTGTGTCTGTCATTGATAAGGTGCTTATCTGTAACTTCCTTGAAGTAATAGTATGCTCTTCTGCATATACTCCTGGCGTCGATGCGGGAGTCACGGTTACATATCTACTAACAAGGGCAATCCTCCATTGCCAGGCAGTATTTCCGCATCCGAAGCTGCGAGACCCAATATGGAACTTTGACGCACTCTGCTATACCTAAGAGGACAAAGAGATGGCACAGCGGGTGAGTGCAAGGCGCACCTTTGCCAAACATTTTGAGGTCAGGCGTACCACTCTACAGATCTTCCTACGAAGTGCCAGTTAGTCTCCACCGACTTACTTGGCAGCCTTGGTATCGTTATTAATACTAGAGACGCCTACTTTCACATGAATTCCCTACACGGCTGTCATCTTCCCTTTGCTAAACCAGGACTGCTGTTATCTCACGATTTCCTTTTGGCCCCCGCCCCCACATCCTGGATCTTCCCATCAGCGACAATTATTGGAGGGCGCACCAACATCGGACATAGCTTCAATAACAGGTGGGAGGCCTTAGGAGGCCCGAGCTCTTATGAAAACCATTCATGTTTCCATCTTACTTGGTAAATCTCATGTTATCCTTGCAAAGACACTTGTCTTACAAGCTTGTTTAGTACTGTCAAATCGCAAAGAAGCTCTCTGCCTATATGATGACCGACGGATACAGTGACAGTCCTCAGGGCTCGACCATTTTCGAACTGAACAATGGTATGTTCAATAGCTATACTTTTGAGGCATCCGTTGTTGAATACAGGGCTAATAGAAATACTAATGAAGGCATGAAAATACCCGCGCTCGGTTTTGGTGCTATGAAACGTCAGTGGCCGTCACCTTTGACCAGTGGTTCCACTTTTCAAGCACGACGGCTAACAGTATGCTACAGAAGGCTTAGTTCTTCCAGAAGAAGAGAGAGACTATGTCCGCAGTCTCATAGTACAAGCCATTACAGCTGGATATCGCTTAATCGATACATCTAAAATCTATGCAACTGAGGACCTTGTTGGAGAAGCCATCAAGGAGTCTGGTGTGTCTCGGTCTGACATTACTGTGGTGACGAAGCTATCTAGTGATGATCACCATGATGTGCGCGCAGCCTTTGAGAGATCACGGCGCACGCTCGATACCTACATTGATATCTACATCATGCATTGGCCGCAAGGCTATACGAAAGATGTGTCACGCCCATTGGTGCCTGATGAGAGCCCGACCTATATAGAGGTCTACAAGGAAATGGAAAAGCTAGTGGGTCCTGATTGCAGAGCTATTGGTGTCGGCAACCTCACACAGAAGACATTGGACGTCTTGCTCAAGGAGACTGAAATCCGGCCTGTGGTTAACGAAATCGAGATCCATCCCCGGAATCCCAATACAAGATTAGTCCCATATTGTCTGGAAAGAGGGATTCGTCCAATCGCATGGGGGTGAGTTGAATTTGACTGGTGATCCTTTGAGAGCAAATTTGCTTAATGTAATGAAATTCTCACAAATTGACCACTTTGAACAGCCCCTTAGCAGGCGGACCTACAAGCCATTACTCGGACACCTCCTCAATCTATGAGAATCCCCTCCTCCTCTCTCTTTCTTCACGTTACGAGCTCTCTGTCGGGGCTGTCATCTTGTCGTGGCTCGTTCAACGTGGAATCGCCGTCATTCCGCATTCAAGCTCACTAACTAGGCTGGCCGAGAATAGACGCCTCGCAAAACTAACCGACGGGGAGATCCAGGCGATAAACTCTTTGCATGAGGAAATTGGGAGAACGTGGCTTATCGATTTTGTGCCCCCGGTCTGGATGGAGGTACCAGGGAAGGGGAAGACGATTATGGGATGGACAGTACAGGAGCTTGGCTGGGTAGATGACAGGGGAGAATGCTTGGTTTAATGATGTTTCGCAGCATCCTGGACTACTACTAATAGATAAGGAAAGATGCTACAATACAACTAGATCGTATTGAAAAATCTCCGGAGTACGTATTAGATCTAGATCAGTTGGACCTCTTGAAACCCCGCCCTGATAACAAGTTAAAAACTCTAGTTCCGGCTAGATGACCAGTTCATGGAGATGATCAGTATACTTGCTGGTTTTCAAAAAGAAAAAAAAACATACAACAGCATTAGTATGACCATAGACTTATAAAGATTGCATGAACTAGAAATAATTGACCCAAGTCCGCTGCCACCAGAGTATAGTAGTCTATATACATCTCAGCAACTCAACCTCTTCCCTAATTCATTTGCACTGAACTACGTTGGCCGGATCGCCGACGGGCCTAACAGCAGCCGTGCATTCTATAGTATATTGTCAGAACGAAGCTAGGAAGATTATCTAGCCGGTTAGGAATAAGTACCTCCACGAGCGATCAGCCCCTCGCTATTTACCCAATAAGCGCAAGCTTCATGACTGGAAAGCCATGTATTTGTGTTCCTGATAGTGCATGCTTCGACAACCTCCCATCTGCTTTGCAGATCTACAGGTTACATTAGTTTGAATAGTCTCGTCGTATCCCCGGGAAGATCACCTACTGTCTGTGAAGATATAGCTGTTCTGATTTGCAATCCAGGTTCCGTCTGCAGCCTGCGCCCAAGCGTGAGCTGTCCCTGCTAGCGAAAGAGTAGCAGCAGCGACGATCGAATAAATCTGCATCTTGCGAGAATATGATGGATGTGGCTGAAGATAAAATGTATATGTGTAGGTTTGTAAAGGAGGAAGTGTCTGATGTTCAAGAGAAACCCTTTCAAACTTCGTTGATCGAGACAGACTTTATATACTAGTCTATTGGGATCACTCCGACTCCTAACAGGTAGGCGATGGTATGTAGGACCCTACCTAGATGAGGCTGAGCGGCCCCCAAACCTTAACTGCAACTGCGGGTGACAAAAATATCCGCAGACAAGCGCAGATACCTCTTCTCCCTTTTAAAAATTGGTCCCTGCGCAAATCAGTCTGCCTTGTTGACAACTATTACTGACGAAGGATTCACCTTCTCCTGGATGTCTTACTTTGTCAACCGTTTTTTGATAAGCGCTAGTGGATGTGTCTACAGTGTCAGTGCAGACTATGTTTAAGCGAGATGAATCGGTATAGACTAGTATGCATGGGGAAAGGGGGCTGGATGAGCTATCCCATGGCGGTATAGTCGCAATTCAAAATACAACGGACCCAAGGCAAAATGCTCTGGGGCGAGCAGATCTCCGTAATCTAGGCCTACAGCTAAAGCCCCCCAACTGAGGGTAAACGAAGGTCTGATTCTTCAGTGGCCTAATAAGCCCGATGACCACCTAACTTACTCGGATCCTTAGGACGATCTGAGACATTCTTGGAGTTAGAGCTACTCTATGATTGAGCCGTCTTTTCCTGGTGGCCCAGCCTAACCTCGTCATTAGAGCCTGTTCTCTTGATACAGCGGTGAGCTTAGGTACTCAGTCAACTAGTCATGAAATGTTGATTTCCAATTCGCTACTCCGTATACCTCTCTTATTTTTGTTTCTTTTCTTTTCTTTTCTTTCTTTCTTTCTTTCTTTTTT